TATGGCCACCGCCAATGTGGGGCAAGTTCCCTCTGCCAAGCAGACCTCGACGTCGAACACCAGGGCCCGCTCCTCGGGGATGGCCACGGGTTCGGCCTCCCCCTCGGGGCCGTAGCGGGTCCAGCCCTCCGCCCAGGCCCAGCTCTGGGGCCGCGGGGGCAGCTGGGCCTGCAACAGCGAGTCGGCCGCCTCCAGGTAGGGCAGGCTCTGCTTCTGGGCCAGGAGGCGGAAGTGCTGGTCCAGGTCGCCCCCGTAGAGGGGCGGCAGGCACAGCTCCACGTCGGGCAAGGGCACGGCTGGCTGCCCCCAGAGCCCGTGCCTCTGCAGGTGCTCGACGCTGCGGCGCACCGCGGCCTCGCCGGGCATCTCCCCGGTGCGCCCGAAGATCTGCGCGTGCAGCCCTCTGGAGAGCATCTGGATGTGCAATGGGTTGTACCGCGGCTGCGCGCCCTCGGAGGATGGCACTGGAGGCCGCGGCGGCCCGTCGTTGGGGCCGGAGCCGGGGCCGGAGCTGGAGCCCCAGCGCCCTGGTGCTGGAACCGGCCCGGGGGCCATGGCGCCGGCCACCTTCTTCCAGAGCAGGCGACTCATGATTGGTGCAGGGAGCCCCCCGCTGGGCGTCAGGGCCCCTGGCTTTAGGCTCCAGCTTGGCTGCTTTTACTGGCTGAATGCCTTGGCCAGGGACACTGCCCGTCTCTGTGCTCCTGTCACGGAAATGGGTCTGACCATGCCTGCCTCCTGTCCCCAGCTCCTATAGGAGACAGATAATAGTGTTATTTATTACACACGTACTTTGTGTTAGAATCATCGCCACCTCTCCCTGGGCTTTCAGTCCATCCCCTTCATTGCCAACAACCTTGGAGAACAGCAGGACCTCCTGGGGAAACTGAGGTACGGGGAGGTTGTTACTGAACTTGCGAAAACTGGATGCGCTGGCTCCGAGCCGGCTCAGGAGGAGGGGGCATGGGTTTTGAAGAACGGCTCTGGCTCTGACACACTGTGTGACCTTGGGCACGCTCTTTAAGGCCCCGATTTCCTAGCTGGTAAAACGGGGGTGCGGATTCTACTCATCATCTAGACTGCTGTTTGCAAGATACGGGGTGGGAACTCGCGGGGCCGGGCCAGCGGCGAGCGCTCGACCAACGGCGGCTCCCATGACTGCGACCCCCGCAGCCCGAGGGGCTAACACCGCCTGGGCCGGCGCCCGGACTCGAACCCACAGGATGGGCTGCCGTAGCTCAATGGCTCCATCCCCGGGCCG